CTCTTCTTTATACAAAATGCTTACAAGTGCATTAGCAACATTAGCTACCTCTACTATCTTCTGAAAATTGTTTGATGCTTGATGCATATCTACTGCAATGCAAGTAATAGCTGAGACCTGCTTTGACAATTTTTCTTTGAACCTGATATTTTCCAGAAAATTTTGTCTTTTTCTTTTTTGAGCCCTTGACATCATCAACATAATCATCTTTAAGATTATCAAAATCCCGATCTGATCTTTCTTTTGTTTTACATCTCAAATTGTTAATTCCACAGTATTATGATACAGGATGTCTTTGTACACGCATGTCATCCAGAATGTGTATTTTTTTCACATATTCCCAATTATGAATATTTTTTTTTTAATTTTATAATGTAAATTAATAAATAAGACACTTTCACCCTGTTATGTTACATTAAAAAAAATGTCTTTATTTTTCTGAAGCGATATGAGCAAACATAAATCAATTAAAATGACTTATTCCAGATTTATTTTGAACAGGTGCATGTGGTGGATTTTGATCCGCTCCTGGATAAAATGAAAATCGTCGTTCCAACAGATGCTTCGTTCTCGTCGTATTTTTCGTGTAATACAACAAGTAGAAATATTATCTTGGATAATTTCGTTTAGTATCATTGCATGCAGAAAAATATTCATTCGATTTTCACTAAAACATGACCAATTCTGTCAAGAAAGTGGAAATCTAGTCGAAAATTTTATGGCATGTCCTGTCGCACGACTGCTGTTTTGTGTGTTTTCAAAGACTTGAAATAATATTTCTAGTGAGGCAGTTGCCTCATTACCACAATGGAAGCTACGCCCCTAACACATGCGGACAAAACAAAAAGAAAAAAATATTTAAAATTAGGCCCCTAAAGCCGCGAAAACAAGGTAGCGCTAATGTTTACTCGGTCAGTACCATACGAAGTCCTATCGATAAACTTCTGGCTAAGCTTATATTTCAGAGCAACACGTGCAACTATACTTAAATGTACATGTATTTAACTTTACGCACTGTCTAAAAATTCCCTGGTTAGCCTCCATAGTCCCGTCAATTTCTTTGAAGTCACTCATGTGCTGCCGATTTTGCGTGTTTTTGTTTTCAAAACAAAGTAGCATGGTGCGTATGAATATGAAAAAGTAGTTCGACCACTATGTTAGGCCAAATATGGCATTTGCATAAACTCCAACGTACTTGGCACAGAAACATTAACCAATATTTTATGCATAAAAAAATCGACAAGGCATATATACAGATATAGGAATATGAAAAGTGACGAAATACACTTTCATTCTTCGGGGGTTTGAAATGCACCGTTTGTCGGACCGACACAAAAAGGCATTTCAATGAAAATGTTATTGTGTATACTTAAAATAAATTTCCTTTAAAAAAAGAAACATTGACATGTCTTCAATAGATATGTTCGCTTTTATTAAAGTTGAGTTTCTCAAGATATGATACAATTTATCGTAGAAGGAACTGAATTAACGAGGTGTGTTCTTTGGCTGAAAATTAGGTCAACATTTGTAAGAACATAACCTGAGTTGATGTCCATCAACTCGTAAAAATGATGATAATAATAATAAGTAGATGATATCTCATTGCAATCAACGAGTAAGTCTTCCTTTGAACTTCTCGATAAAATGAGATGTGGTTTTGACTGAGATATTCGTTGAAAGTTAATGACATTAAGTTTTCCTTCATTTAATTTATAACACGATATACTTATGTTCAATTTTGCAAATCAAAATATACCCCCTTTTCGAGATAAGAAGCGTCAAAGATTCAGCATTTTGGCCCTTTGTGAACCCTAACTACGCAAAATATCTTCTAAACTTTATAATATATTGTTGTAAATCGTCGATAATTAAAGAAATATTGAAAAAATTGAGCAGAAAAAGTAATAATTTTTTGTGACACCCGGGGGATCGAACCCGGGTCGCCCGCGTGACAATCCGACGCGCTAACCATTTAGCCATTGGGATCAAATATAAATTTTACAACTACATCCAATTTTTCTTTACTTAAAGAATTCACAAAGCTTTTTCATTGTTAACAAATAAATATAACTTAATTTTTTTATCTCTTGAATAGAGAGCATTGAACATAATTAGTCCTTGTCTATATATTAAAAAAATATTCCAGTTTTGCTTCTTATTGCATTCCACATATATTACCACGTGATGTCATTGACAAAAGTGGATGTTTCCTGTCAGCATTATATGCGATTAATATCACGATTACACCAAAAATATGCATAGATATACCACCAATTAAGGTAAATTATTACTTGATAGGAAACGAAACATAGAAGTATCAATACCACGGTTTATTTCATGATATTTAAATCAACTTTTGTTTTTAATGAAAAACTCTTCGGTCATTCAGAAAAGGAAGTAGATATGTTTTCATTTTTTTAACATTCCATACATTTATTTTTAGTGCAGATAAATACTATTGGAAAATACTTCCTATACCATAAAGATAAAGTATTGAATAATTTTACATGAAAAGATATTTGAGGAAATTTAATTTTAAATAAAAAATCAATGACTGCTTATAGATTTATTTCACTAAAACGAAAACGAAATGCATGAAAGTCCTTGACATTATTTTCTCTCTTTTTATTTGTTGTCGTTGTTGTTGTTGTTGTTGTTGTTTTTGGTGTCTCCACTAAAAAAATGACGTTTACCTGGATACACAACATAAACAAAACAGAATCAGAATTTTATCGCGTCTTTACGTGCAGCATGATAACTTTCTTATTTGCCCGTCGACGAAAGTGTTATCGGTACTATAGTATTAAAATAAGATAAAACTTAAAATCCACATGAAATATTTTTGCATCACTACACAAATATTATAAAGATTCATTTTTGCGATGTCATTGACTTTGATGATCACACGACAGATACAAGAATTGCATCGTCACAAGGGCAAAACAAAAATTATTGTAAAAAAAAAATAATTTTAATCTCTGTCTGGTATATATAAAGTGCTGGAGCGAATCTACATTTAATAGCACTTCTTAAGAAAATATTTGCAGTGAAATGCAAGTTACCCTCATATACATGTAGGGTACATTATATACTTTTCATCGCAGTTGATTTAAATAAGAATAAATTACAATGCACTCCCAGCACAGTTCATTTAAAAACAAATTCTACAGTATATTCACACAAATATTTTCAGCTCATTCTTATTAATTAATCATTCTTATTAATGTCAATACAATATATAATACATATTGTAGCGGGAAAGTTCTTTTCCCAGTAGCGCTGCCACCAGCTGATTGTCTCCCATCAGCAAGGGAAGTCAAATATGACCTCTTATAAAAAATAATAAAATGACCTGACCTACTCGGCTCTCAATACTTTTACCATGACTTGACCAAAACCTGAACAGAAGTTCATTAAGTTAATAAATCTATTCATTCAAATCAACATAACAAGCAAAATACATAAAACAACGCGACTGAGGACTTCACTCATGTGCGAAAAACCGTTACATTAAATTAACACGACGACATCGACCAATATTTCAACACAATTAAAGGGGGACAACTCGGGATAACTAAATGTCAAAAGCGAGAAGGTCAATCACTTCTTGTATAAAATTCAAAAGCTAAACTCATCTGAGGCTATCACTCCTGAGTTTCTTACCAATAAGTAGATATGAATAAACTATAGAATTCTCAGGGGAAAATCACCCTTAAGAATCTAAAAGTTCCTAATAAAATTTCTCTAAGGAAAATCAATCTTGAGAAATATCCTAAAGCTACATACAACAGTAATTAAATCAATAATCTATTAAACATAATCGCTTGAGACAATCATCAAGTTATGTTTTTAACTAAGACTTCTCTAAAAAGATAATTTCTCTCACAACTAGTTAAAAGAAATAATTTCAGAAATCAGATAGACCAGTCTTTTCAATAAAATTAAAATTAGACAACTCAATAAAATTCTGCCAAATCAAGTTTGCTATCAAATCTCAACTGATCAAAGTCTTAAACAAATCCCTAAAATTAGTCAAATAAATCAACAAATATTTCTACTTCTCATAAATCAATAAAACAACTTTCCATAGATAAAAATCAAATAAGTTTCCTTTTAAAAATCAAGATGTAGCCTAAACAATAACACAATAAAAATGACTAACGTTGCCTAGAATGAGAGAGAAGGAAAGGACTTCAATTACAGAATTTCCCCAGCTTTTATACCATGAAAAACAGAATTCTATTCTTTGCACGAGCGAATCATAGAAAAATACAGAAAAACACAGAATCTGTATTATCACGTAACCTTAACAGAAAATATAACAGAAAATCTCAATACAGAATTCTCTAAGTAAAATCATGTCGATTCTCGTCTAGAAAAATTATAGAACAACCCGTAACACTTACATTTTAAACATTTCTCATGTTTTAAAAAAATCTTGTATACATTCAGTCGTTATCGAAAGAACGTGTCATTCATATTTCCCGCAATAACAGAAAAATCGATAATCTAACAATCGGAATGCCTCAGTATTCACTGTAAAAAACATAGTAAAGTCCGTAAACGCAGGAAGTGTGAAAAACGAAAGTAAACATGATTTAAACATGTGCTTCATTTACCGTAGAACAAATAAGTAAGTCAACTTTATACCGATGTACATTAAATCAAACTGCTTAAATGCTATCATGTACACTTCTTTTACTTATCGAAAATACAATGATATGAAAAAAAAATATAAGGGGGTGGGTGCTCATAACACTACAATATATACACAAACTATACATATGCTGTTATGATGCCGTATCTATGTTCATGTAATTCAGAGAAGTAAAAATGGTAAAAACAAGTGGAATAGTTTGATATTTTACAAATAGTCTGATCCCTTAACTCCCGAACTTGTGTTAAAAGTTTAAAGCATCCGTTCATATATTGATTTAGGAAGAAACATTTACATTCCATCTAAAAAGGATAACCCAGTAATACCTTGTTGTTTTTTCAGCATGGCTAATCCCAAATACACTTCCACAAATGAGAAAACAAACGCTGTCCGGTTATCTAGGTTATTAGTGGATCCATGTACTGATCTTTTTAGGGCAATTCTGAGGGATCGTATTACAGAAATACAGTTTCCATGCATTCTTAACAAGGAAAAGAATAATTTATTCCATATCTTATACAAAGATCAAAGGGAAATACTTTATCCTAAAAGCGGCTTCACTGGAATTTATGAAGAATTTGATTTGTCTTTATTATACATTTTACTAAGAAATATATCTGGAATACATCCTCACCAGAATGGATGGGGTAAATCTCCTGATCCAATAGATCGATCCCTCTCCGCTAACATAGAACGAATCAGGGAAATCCGAAATACGCACTGTGGACATGCACCCTGTGTTTCCCTTCCAGATCCAGAATTTCAAAAACATTGGCAGAACATTACAGTTATTATCAGTGAACTAGAACGAAGTCTTCCTGGAGGATGCACAACATATACAAATGCTGCAAAGATGCTTCAAACTGAAACCATGGATCCTGAACAGGAAAAAAAGTTCCTTGACATTATCGATCAACAACACAAATCCACAGAGGATCTGAAAGGTAGCATTTAAATATAAACAAAGGATGGGCCATTAATGAAGTTTTTTATTATGATCAAATTGATTTCACTTATTTCATTTGAAAGGCATGAACATGGAAAAATCAAGAATCAAATTAGTTTCATTAAGTCATTGCCTAGTGATTTTTAATTCCCTTAATAAATGTCTACAGCAAAAAAAATTTCTTTGAAAGAGACTACCAAAGAGTTGAAAAAAGAACAAGAAATCCAACGTACCAAACTGGAAATGCTCAAGTCTGAATTTACACAAGGACAGAAGAGAAAAGCAGAACAATTACAACTAAAAACAACAGAACGGAAGAAACTGAAAACTGAGCAAAACAAACAAGCAATTGAGATTAAAAAACTAAAGCATGAACAAAATCAACAAAGATTTAAACTTCACTCAATTAAACGAAAGATAATGTCGAAAAGTCTTTCAGAAGGTGAATGAGATAAAGTCACTCTCAAGTGTAATTAGATAGATGGAATAATGATAGATATAAATTACTTAATCAAACTCATGATTGTTTTTATATCTTTATGGATCTGATAATTAATGTTTTTGATGATATGTCTTGCTTTCATTACATTTTGTTTAATTTGAACAGAAAAAATAAATGGTTTTGAAGGACAAAACATTATTGGTAAGTACAATTACATAATTATATACATTTGAAAGGTATACGATGCTGTCTTCAAAGGGTCAATACCCACCAAAGTTTCCCTCTGGAAAGTAAAATTGGAAGAAAAAAGAGAACATGACAACATTGTACTCTTAAAGCTGAAAAAATTCAAATCATGTTTTATCATGTAGTAGTAGGTCTTTCAACTGCCGCTAAGACTCGTTATTAAGAACAATAACTAATAACTGGAACTCATTTAGAGCAGGTACAGGGTATTTTTTTTATCAGCAATATAGCATCCAGTGGTTTCTGGAAATTTTTACGATATATGTATCTTTAAAAAAAAACATTATTGAAAGGTCTAGTAATATTGCAACTCATTTTGAATTTCTATTTTTCACGAAAGGAAATACATTGGCGGTTCTGAAAGCTCATAAACTTCAAAAGGTAATTGCAAGAACATCCGCTGTGCAGAACACTATAGACAAATTGAGAAATAACCATTTGGCTATTCTGACTGGCAAAGAAGGGACTGGAAAAACAACGACGGCGTATCAAGTCTTATGGGAGATGTCAAATCCTTCATTTGATTCACCATGTACACCTGTTTTAATAATATCTCCTGAACAGTGGGATAAAGTGATCAAACCTTCCTTTCAATATATTGTTTATCTAGATGATGTGTTTGCTTCAGAAACTCTTGATAAAATGGCAGTTCAAAAATGGAAAAATCAGATAAATGTTATGTTTGCCTGTGCTAAAACCGGAAATGTTATGGTTTTGATAGGACTCAGAAGTAAAATATTGGCTGAAGTAAAAAAAATGTTCAAACATGCAATTCTTAATGAAGAAAATATCGTTGACCTGTCTTTGGAAAAGAATTTTACCATAAAAGATAAAGCCAATATACTGGATGCTTATGAAGAAAATTGCAATTTTAAGGCCTCGGAGCTAAGAGGCGATTCATTTACAGAATATGCAGAGGAGAATGGAATTAATGCAGTTTATAGGTTGCGTCATGACGAGAAGATAGGTATACTTTTTGCCGATTCTTATTATGGATTTCCTATGACGTGCTCGAATTTTTTCTCAAATCGTGATTTTTTTCAGATTGGCACATCTTACTTTGAATGCCTTGATGAAAAATTATTAGAAACAATAGAAAATATGCGACGAGGGAATTCTGGAAACATACATGAAAAAGTTAAATATTGTGTATTATGCTATGTTTCAATTAATGGAAGCATCGAGCCAAATAGAATATCTAAGAAATTGTTAAATTCTATCTGTGAAAGATTAAGGATTTTTCAAATTCATGACATTGAATTGAAAGACGCAATCACTGATTTGGATGGTTTGTTTCTGCGAAAAATAACACCAATTTCGGAAAACCTTTATGAATTCTCGCATGAATCTGTTTTGGAAGGTGTTATAGTGTCATTCGGACAACTAGCACCAGACATTGTGATTAGAAACTGTAGTAGAAGACAATTGCATAAACTAATTCACACACAGAAGTATCAGTCGAAACCCGGGGAAGTTGTTCTGAAAGTTCAAAAAATTAACTATTGGGATTTAGCACAAAGACTGATAGGAAGTGATGATAATGACTTCCTCACCATGATTTTTCCTTGGATAGTCTATGAAGTTTCTCTTCATCCAGGATTTGATGACCCTGATTTTTTGTCCGTTTTTCTTAGTAGTGAATTAAAGGATAAAATTACTACTCATCTTCAAAATGTAAGGATTAACAGAGCTGCGTTTTCAATGTTTCATACAGAAAATCTGTTGAAAGTTCTTGAGCTATGTGGTCCACATCATGCTACACAAGAACATTCCCATTCGCAAAACAGTGGTGCACCAACATTTCAAATAACTGTTGAACATATTCAAGTAAAACTGCAACAGATTTTTCTTTCTAAGAAAAAATACTGCATATTAAAGACTATTATATCTTACATACATAAATATCGTAATATACGTGATATACGTAATCTTCTTCAAACGAAAATCTGCTCTGGTCTGACAGTTGTACAATACTGTGTTATGCAAGGATGGAAGAACCTTGTGGATCTGATACTTGAAATAGACACACCGACAAAGACAGACCTCAATTGGTCATGTGCACATCTCGCTGCGTATGGTGGAAGGTCATTGTTATTGCATAAATTTATAGACCTTGGACAGAATATAACAGAAAAAACTACAGATGGTTATACCGTGCTTCTGGCAGCTTTTCTGGGATTAAGATATGGCGATAAAAAAAGAGTATTTTTTCCGCTAAACAAAACAAACTCTTTATTTCCAAAATGCTACGAAAATTTCACTTCATTTTTCCCCTCAAATAACAACTTTAAAAGTGTCATTAAAATATTATTAACAAAATATAATGCAAATAAAATAAGTGATCTATACATGACTGTTGATAAACATGAAAATACTGTCATTCACTATCTAGTAATGCATAACTATCTTGAAATTCTAGATTGTCTTCTAAAATATGAAAATGAATTTATTTCTAAGCGTAATAAAAGTGATCTTCCTACAGCTTTACACGTAGCTGTATATCTTGGTAGAGCAGCGATGGTGAAGAAATTGTGGGCATTTGGAGTACGACCTCAAGAAAGAGACCTGTCTCTCATGCAAACTCATAATGAAGGAGAAATGTTTTGCAATAAACGTATCGTTTATACCCAGTTGAAACGCAAATTAGATCCGAATGTGTATGACAGTGTGCTATTTAAACTTTGCTGGAATGATGGAAACAATGAAGTCCTTGATTTGAAACTGAGAGCCACCGAAGAAGTGGAAGTTGACTTTGGGGGTACCAAAGAATTTCAAGAGGTGTGCGATTTTCTCGAAGATAATCTCGGACGAGAATGAAAGTGACTTTCTTGTTATTGAACACGTTAATGTGTATTATTAATCCCAACATACCAGAACTGATATAACGTCGTGATATATGCACTTCTGATAAAGAGAGTAAAATGATATGCACTGACAATCTAATTTTCAACTATAATAGAATGATATTTAATTAGAGGTATATTTTGGCATTAATAGGTTTGTCATGATTTACTCTAGAAGGTGTCATAAAAGAAGTGAATTGAGAAGTACAACCTAAATAATTTAAATTTGATTTTATTCTAGTATCTCATTGGTTGATTACCAAAAAGGAACGCAAATTCTTTCTTAATAACCTGGTTTGGTATAGGGACACACCCCCTGGACAACCAGCTGAATCATCTGTATCCATACAATCCCCCCCCCATTTCCAGTCCTTGGAATTCATGGGAAATTCCAGATTTAATGAATATACCTTTAACTTCAAACAGTACCTCGATCTTACCTCGTGTACACAAACATCATGGCTGCTACATCTGTATATCAGTTATTACCTCCCTTGTTTCATATCACTACCGTCACTAGGGATGTATCATTGAGCGGCAAATTTGAACTCGTAAAATGCAACACAATTTTACACCCACAGTTATTCAATTATTTTAAAATTAAATTAAATTATTAGGAATGACTCTAATTCTTGGCCAAATTATTCGATGATAACCTGGTTTGGGTCAGTTTACGCTTTTTTATAATCCGCTAAACGGACCCAAACCAGGTTATCATCGAATAATTTGGCTAAGAATTAGAGTCATTCCATTAATATCTGACTTTTTTTAGTTTAAAGAAAATAAATAATCCTAGAAGCGTTTCAGATTTTGAATGTTTGAGAAGAAGTACATTGTATGTCATTCCTTCCGTGATTTGGTCGTTCTGCATCTTTTCTAAATGATTAAATCCATCAAGCACAAAGACCTATAATCATTTTCTTATTTCTTTTCCTGAATATCAGGATAATAATCACTGATAGAGCAAAACTTTTTGATAAATAATCATGGGTAATAAAAACTAAAATACATTTGCATTACTTTGAAATGGAGAAACTACTCTGAAATTGTGTTATTTTAGTTTTCTTTTTTTTATTATCCCATGTTTTCCCATTCATTCCGTAGATGTGACTCTTGAATAGTTTTTCTGACCTCCCAAATATGTGATGTTATAATGGATTTTGCGATGATCTGTCTAAATTAATAGTACAGTTCAAGAAACATCATTTTATGGAGACATTCTAATTGTTTTATTACTATTTTCTACCATATCATTTATACCGGAACTTTATGTAGTGATTAAAAAATGTTGGGGTGTAATTATAATTTCAAAAGTTCGCGAATTTATTGCAAATAAGATTGTCTCAAAAATGTCTCCAACCGAGTAAAATTTCAAATGATTAAAAGCATTTACTGTTAACCCACTCTTAATCGCTATGACCTTAATTCGAGATTCTCCAGAGGGAAAATACTAACTAGCTACTATTAATTTTCGCGATTAAGTTTTTTTTTTTTTCAATCTGTAGTTGATAGACACAAAAACTTTAAGAACTGGTTCGCTGCGAAAAATATTCGCGGATACGAGGTTCTTGTGAATTTTTCAAAAATTCATCGCAAGAGAATAAAAGTTGGCTAACAGTAATCATTGTGGACTTAGCAGAGTCAGTAAATATCTTGGCAATGATATGTTTACAGAAATTGGATTTATTTTACTCGTTAGTCGATTGATGAAAAATCGATTACATGCATATTTTGATAACTTTGTCTTTTCACGATGAACACTGGAAAGTGTTGAAAAGTTGTTTCAACATGATCTTTTTATCTTCATATTTTTATTCTTATTTTTCTATATTATATAACACATATGTTGAGTCACGTTTTGTCCGCCGTCACGTTATGTCCGCCGTCACGAAATGTCCGCCTCTTTTTCAGAAAAATCGTCACGTTATGTCCGCCGTCACGAAATGTCCGCCTCTTTTTCGGAAAAATCGTCACACTATGTCCGCCGTCACGAAATGTCCGCCTCTTTTTCGGATAAATCGTCACACTATGTCCGCTGCTACAAAATGTCCGCCTTTCTCCCCAAAAAATAGTAATATTATGTCCGCCGCCAAGAAATACCCCCCCCCCAAAAAAAAAAATCGTCACCCTATTTCTGCCGTCACGGAGTGTCCGCCGATCATCCTTCTCGTTATGTCTGCCCCAACAAAATGCCTGTCAAAGATTGAAAATAGTGTTTATTAATGACAACGGTTTGTCTTATCAAATTTGCTACACATGATTTCATTGAACTACATTGTTTCGATCAATTAATGGAGATTTGTTTAATTCCTCTTGATTGTTTACGGTATTTGATAATTTAGTGGCATGTTGTAAAAATGCAATTAAATTAAAATAAAATAAATAATCGGGTAAGAATTCTGATCAAATCCTGATTGACGAAATTTGAAGGGGGGAGAGTATTAGCATGTACATATAGGTACAGATTGTACATGTATACATTTCCTAAGGATTTCATTATATGTAAAATTTTAATTTCTCGCAAATACGAAATTTTTGCTGCAGCAGACAAGGATAAAGCACGTTTGATACTTTTCCAAAATAAAAGGAAATGCAATTTAGCCAATCTGGATGGGATGGGGGGGGGGGGGGGGTTTACACCTCCTTTGGGATATGCTAGAGTGAGTGAAAGAGATTCCGAATATTTGTTGTGTTTTAACATATGTACCGGTAATAAGCTCGTGATAGGCTACTTATAAAATTCAAATCCGCCACGTGCACTGTCTGCAGCTGGGACTCAAGACTTTAATTTGGTCGATAAGGCTTGTCAGACAGTCAATGACTGTAGACGCCTCGGCTCCACTGGAAATGTCGTTTCCCCCTAAGCACACTACAACGATGTCCGGGTTGTACCTCAACATCTTGGAGATGATATTTGGGCAGGGTACCTGTAAAGTGCGAAACGAAAAAGAAACGAAACGAAACGAAATCTACCGAAACGAAACAAAATCTACCGAAACGAAATCAAGACGAAACGAAACATAATCAAACAAACTATTGAAATCTGTGTTTTTCCCCCCAAATCAAGGTAAATCATGTATATAATTATATATATGTAGCTGCTTGTGGACTTTTTTTTTTGCTTCAAATAAAATTCATATGTAGGTCTTGCACTTGTTAATATAAAATTTGATTAACGAAAAATTATGCTCCTTTGTCAGTCTAATGATGTATTTACAGTCGTTTGGCCAGTTCCTAATAATTAGTAGTTCAAGGACTGATAATTAATAAATTCAACGGTGTAAAAATAAATTGATTTCTATGGTAAGAAGGCTTACTTATGAGTGCTTGAATTATGTGAAGTTTTGATTTTTTGCCCTCGCCTTGGTTTCGTTATCGTACTTGAAACAGTCGACATACTTAATCTGAATCACCGAGACGCGTAAGTCTGCAGAAAAACCTCTGTGTATACAAAAAACCACGTTCCATGTATCAAAAGTAAGTTTTATATGTCCTCTAAAATATGCTAAAAACTTGTCAAAAATAAAATATTTAGAACACTGTAAGATATTGAAATATTTTCGTGTTCTTATTTTACCATGTTCCAAATACCCATTTTAAACACTATTATAAATTCACTCTTCGTTGTTTTCTTCATTGTAAACGTGACTTATTATACCCCGCTGGAAAAACAGGAAGAAGGGGTATATAGTAATTGGATCTTTGTCCATCCATCCGTCTCTACGTCCGTCCGTCCGTCTAGCTATACGTCCGTCCGTCTGATATGCTATGGGGTATCCATTTCTTATCCGCAACCCCTCTTCTACCACTGAATGAAGTTTAATGAGGTTTCACAGAATTTAATAAGTCTTTCACAGAATCTTTGTTTAAGAGAATCAAAGTGCACCTATTTTATTTTTGGATCAGACACATAATTTGGGCTCCCTGAGAAAAACATAGATATTGCCATTTTTGTAACATTGGAAGGTATATCCATCTCTTATCCGCAATTCCCCTTATTCCACAGAATAAGATTTAATGATACTTTCACGGATTCTTTATTATATTGTGACATTGTTACCTTTTATTTTACTTTTTGATCTGACACTTATTTCGGGTCTCCCAAAGCAAAACATGAACTTTGTCATAAATAATCGTAAAAGAGGTGTGGGGTATCATTAAAATGAGCTCAGTGCCCACAGTGCCTCTAGTTTCTCTTCAACCTTTGGAAATACAAATAATTTATTGGTAAACAATTAATTTAACTTTTCTTAGGCATGACAATGGATAACGTCTGGGACGTATATTTTTTAATTTAAGGTTGAATTGAATAAGAATCTTTAGGCTATCCGGAACTCGTCGGCTTATTCGTAACTGGTAAAATGGACACCTATGGTAACTTGGAAATACATTTTTTGGAGGGAAGGCTGAACTTTTATGAAACAATATTTAATTCAACAATGCCTTGTTTATTTATAGCACCACCGAAGTTATACTAATTGGGTTTTGAAATCAATTACCGTGTTGATAATAAATGGGTAATATGGTTATAAATTACGCCTAAATATCCTCATCATGAAGTACGCTGGGAGTTCAATAATACTGCTAAACTATCTCATCATTATCGCTACTCCTCATTAAAATGTTGCGCGCTTATCAACCTTACATCTCACATCAATAAGACGATTGATTCTCATTACTATGGTGTCCGGATAGGGCCATTTGCATTAGCGCAACATCGCATTGAGATAAACGCACCGTCGCAATAACACACAACATGCTGTCGCGCTAACACATAACGCGCCGTCCCGTTAACGCAACTTTGCACAACGCGCTGTCGCGCAAACACACAACGCGCCGTCGCGCTAACACAACTTTGCAGAACGCGCCGTAAGCGTAAGCGTGACGGCGTGTTGTGTGTTAGCGCGACGGCGCATTGTGCAATGTTGTGTTAGTGCGACGATGTGTTGTGTGTTAGCGCGACGGCGCGTTGTG